GGGTTGCCAGACCACCCTTTTTAAAAACATATCTCCATTTGCCTCATACTCAAGCTTTTGTTTCATCTTCTTCCTTTCCTTGTGAGACAACTTCTTCAAAGCTTCTTTTTCTGTTAAAATATTAAACTTCATTATTACAACACCAATTATTAACTTCCCAACGTTAATACAGCCTCTCCTCACTTAGCGATGTATACTCGTTTACCGACTGCTTGGAGTTACGACCAGCTCTCTGACCAATATGCAAAACCTATGTACATTGGAGCTAATTCCCTCTCCTGTTTATTACAGTATACAGTACACTACTGTATAAACATTTAAAAATATACTAAAAATGTTATAAATGGTGCAAAGATGACATTAAAAAATATCTAAAGATAGTCGACACAAACCCATTACCAGTACAGTATGCTCCTCGCTTAACCAATTCGCTTACCGTCCTACTCTTAGGAATGGACTCGGTCGTTAAGTGAGGAGAGGCTGTACACTATTGCATTTAAACATTTAAATTTTTTCTTGATGGTTAAAAATCCACGTACAAGGAATTGTATACAGCTCAACTCTTAAAAAAGGAAAAAAGGAAGCTTCCTTTATATAATGGGGTTGAAAAAAGTTCATCAAAACACTGAACAACATAGGATGTGCTTTCCAATATTGCATGAACTTTTAAACTGCATTCATAAGATATAAATCACACTATATACAACTTTATGAAAGGTTACTGTACTGTGGGAACCTCCATTTCAATGTAAGTTTATTTAGACACAGGTACACATAAGTACAATTATCATCATACATAGCATAAATTACCTAGGATAACCAATAAAAAGTCCAAGTGACTTATTTCCATTGGGATCCTTGTTGGATCATAACAAAAGAATACGCATCCTCTTAATGATATACGTATAGCAACCATATTAACAGGTCATATATAAAATGAATGTCTTTAAATTTTCCCGAGTAAAAAGTTAAAGTCTCTGCCATATATCTTTCATTAAATTTTCAGGCATAATATACAAATCTTTAAAATACATAATGGCTATAGATGTGACCACAGCATATTACATCCATTGGGAATCACTAAACCCATAGGGTTCATGCAGTACCTGGGGGAATGGGGAGCATTAAGGTTTGGTCCAAGGAGGATAAGGATAGATAGAGTTTCTTGGATCACGGTGCCTTCAGGGGCACTAGGCACCTCTCACCAGGGAGTGTGCCTAGAGCCACAACTTTGAAGTCGATGTCAAGGTATGACCACTAACCTTCCTGAAGTTTTTTCTTTTGCCTTGCTTCTTCGCTCTCCTCATCTTCCTCTTCCTCTTCCTCTGACGACTCCTCCACTGGAGGTGGAGCCGCTTCCTTAGATGGAGTGGACGGAGGAGTGATCACCATAGGCTCTGCCACCTCTTCCTCCACTTTCTTCTTTACCTCTACTTCTTTCTCCTTCTCCTCAGTGTCGTCGTCCTCATCTTCTGCGTCTGCCTCTTCGTCCTCCTCTTCCTCCTGTATTTTCTTCCTCTCTCTCTTTTTCTTTTGTTTCTTCAGGTTTATGCTTTGTTTGGAAATTATTTCATCTTCGTCGGTTCCATTTTCCAGGTCCATGTTCTTCATCTTCTCCACCAGCTTGTCATCGTCATCTTCGTCGTCTGTCCAATCGTCCCTCTTGCCCTTTTTCTTCTTATCCTTCTTCTTCTTTGTGAGCTTGGTCGACGGCTTCTCTCTTGGGGTCTCGTCGTCACTCTCGCCGGCTGGGTTCGTGATATCTTCGACGTCCTTGTCGCTGTCGCTCCAATCCTCTTTGGCCTTCCCCTTCTTCTTCTTGCCCTTCTTCTGAGCCTCGCTCTTCTTGATGCTCGGTTCGTCTTCGTCGCTCGCTTCGTTCTTCCCCCTTCCCTTACCCTTCTTCCCCTTCTTGTCGTCGACGTCGACAGATCGTACATCCTCGTCACTCATATCATTCTTGCCCCTTCCCTTCTTCTTCTTGCCCTTCTTGGTATCCACACTTGCGGGTTTAGCGTCATCATCGTCACTTGCATCATTCTTGCCTCTCCCCTTCTTCTTCTTCCCCTTCTTGTCCTCATTTTCAACCGGTATAATCTTGACATTCTCCTCCACGTCACTTACATCATTCTTGCCTCTTCCCTTCTTCTTCTTGCCCTTCTTATCTTCCCCATCAGCTGGCACTGTCTTCACGCTCTCCTCGTCTTCACTAGCCTCGTGCTTCCCCTTTCCCTTCTTCTTCTTCCCCTTCTTCTTATCCTCCGGCTCCACCTTTACCTGTTCCTCCTCATCACTCGCCTCATTCTTCCCCTTTCCTTTCTTTTTCCTGCCTTTCTTCTGGCCTGCTGTTCCTCCCTCACCATCACTCTCCCCCATCACCTTCTCCTCCTCTCCCTCACTATCCCACTCGTCTTGCTTCTTGCTCTTCTTTCCCTTCTTGGGCGGCATCTCGGCGAGCCCCTCAGGCAGCAAACAAGGACTAGGAAGTGCCAAATAAAGTTGGAAAAATTAGAGATGGTCACTGATCCTCCCTCAGACACAACATGTGGACTGGTGGGAGGGAGGGGGAGGGGGAGGGGGAGGGGAGGGGGGTGTCCACCATCACCAGGGATCCACACTATAACCATCACATTTCCTTTCCTTTATTTAACACCTTTATAGACACCTCCATCAACCACACAGCAGCCGACAACTATAAGTCGACCGATGTCTAACATTAACCTAACTTTAGTAGCTAAAGTAAAGAGTTAAAGTATTTAAATTCCCTTAACTCGGATTAAGGATCCCAATGATAATAATGATACATATATATATATATATATATATATAATATATATATATATATATATATATATATATATATATATATATATTATATATATATATATATATATATATAATATATATATATATATATATATATATATATATATATATATATATATATATATATATATATATATATATATATATATATATTCATGAGGAAATATATTGCAGCTAAAACAGTGGATTAAGAGTCCTTGTTTATTACTATAGATAAAAACTACATAATACATGTATGCCCAATACAGCTACATGTTTTTAAGACAATTGTTGTATTACCTAAATAAAAACTAGCATAACCATCAGTTATGTTAGCTAGTCTGATAGGTTTTAAAGCCTATCAACTACATGGAAAGTAACCATCAATATAATTTAGTTATTTATGTTAGTTAATTCTCTAAATATTCTGTGTTTTTAAAGAGACCTCTCTCTCTCTCTCTCTTCTCAGTATTACATCTTTATTTAGTTCTTAAACATTACTGAACTATTGTTACATATAGTAAATAAAGTTTATTTGATGCTAAGACAGCCCAGTAAAGTCAAACTATGAGACATATTGTATTATTATGTTATGCTTAAAATTTATCACCTGCTGAAGGATCATTAACATACTTTACCTTGTTAGAACCTGCTGAAGGATCATTAACATACTTTACCTTGTTAGAACCTGCTGAAGGATCATTAAGTACAATTAAGATAAGATTTTGTTGGGATTTTTAACCTCGGAGGGTTAGCCACCCAGGATAACTCAAGAAAGTCAGTGCGTCTTCGAGGACTGTCTGTCTTATTCCAATGTTGTCCTTTTTAATCTTGTCCCCAGGATGCCACCCACACCAGTCCACTAACACCCAGGTGCGTACTGGCTTGTTAGGTGAACGGGACAAGTGTAAGAAAACACTCCCAATGTTTCCACCCGGCCGGGGATCGAACCACGGACACTGTGCTTTTGTATACTGTGTGTTTGTGTGTTTACCTGGAGTTTACCTGGAGAGGGTTTCGGGGGTCAATGCCCCCGCGGCCCGGTCTGAGACCAGGTCTCATGGTGGATCAGGGTCTGATCAACAAGGCTGTTACTGAAGCGAGAATAAGTAAGTTTATTCAGGTACAGGAACACATAAATGCAGTTATATAAAGTATCATACATAGCAGCATATGTAAAACAGCCACGGAAGGGGAAGGGAGTTGAAAGATAGCTCTAGGCCTTTCGTGCTGCAATCAACACATCATCAGAAGCTTGCAATTTTGGAAGAAAGAGGATAAAATCCGAGCAAACACTCTGAATACTAATATTAATACCAATACTAATACTAACACTACTACTACTACTACCACTACTACTACTACTACTACTACTACTACTAATAATAATAATAATAATAATAATAATAATATAATATCTTTATTTCTACAAGTACATGTACAAAGTATACATACTACTATATAGAAAGCTGCTTGTTATGCTGAGGATTTCGGGTATATTATGATGACTGCTAATAAACTTACACGTAATAATAACAAAACCTTCTACATTATGTTTGGGAACAGAACAGGTGCTGCCAAGCTGAACATTATGACTGACAACACTCTTATTGCTAAACATAATGAGGACAAATTCCTGGGCCTGCACCTTGACGCAACCTGAAATTCAACACTTATAACCAACATAAAAAACAGTATCCAAAACAGTTGGGATCCTCTCCAAGATATGTTACTATATACTACAATCAACCCTACTCACATTATACTATTCACTCATTTATTCCTACCTCACCTATGATATTTGTGTCTGGGGATCAACAGCAGCAACCCACCTAAAGCCAATAATTACCACACAAAGCCGCAGTACGCCAGTCAGTAAGAATTATCAGCAATACAATGCTAGACAACCCCCCCCCTAAACTTTACAAAGCCCTAAACTTACTCACTGTACAAAACATCCACACCTACTGTGAAACCTACATTTACAGAACCATAAATTCTAATATTAACCCTGAACTATAACACTTTCTTGGTAGTTGCAACAGTACCCATAGACACAATATCAGACACAAAAATCTCTTTGACATTCCTCGTGTCTGGCTAAATCTCCACAAAAATTCAATGTACGTACATAAAAGGGCCTAATATCTGGAACTATCTGCCTGAAAACTCTAGAACCGCAGAATCAACCATCATTTTCAAAACTACCGTTAAAAAACATCTTATCTAACACACCCGTCATCAGCCAACCAAATGAAAACCACCCAAATCTCTCTCTTTTTTTTTTTTTGCATCTTGAATTATTATTATTATTATAATCAAGGGGACGCGCTAAACCCGGAGGATTATACAGCGCCTGGGGGGGGGGGGATGTGGAAGGCATTCAGGCTTAATTCGGGGAACTGGAGCACAGATCCAATTCCCTAAATCAAGAGCCCCTCACCAACATCAAGGAACCTTCTTTGAGGGGTTTGTATCTTGAAGACATCCAAAACAAAATAGACTTACTCTCGTTATCTGTAATTCCTCATAATTTATACTTACACTCACCTAAATGACTGTAAACATAAAATTCCTAAAATAGCTATTGCCTAGTAAGCCTTAAGTTAGTCCCAAGTTTGCCTAAGATATTCTCCTAACATAGCAGCTTTAATAGAAACAGTGTATCATGCCAAGACAAAACCATATTGTTATATGTTTTATACTACCTCACTATTATAAATCTAATTAATCACTTTAGTTACCTAACTTTTATATCATAAGCACTAAGGTATATTAAAATGTACTGCTCCATAACTGTGTCAAAATTAGAGTAAAAATTATATTAGTCTGCCCGAAATACCTAGGCATGCTTAGTGGCCATATTTGTAATTAGACTTTTATATTATGTAGCCACCATTGTAAGCTTTGCAAGGAAAATAAACATTTTCATTATCGTCATTTTATAAGTGATAAAAATTAGGAAGAAAAATTACAAAGATATTTATATGGTTTACACTAATATGTAAAAATTTTCTGTTTACTTTTCATTTAAAAGGAAACGGTATTGATTTACATATTTAGGGAAACTATTATGAGGAAAAAATTACAATCTTTGCATGATTGCTGAGATGTTGATTGTGTTTGAATTGTTAACCCAGAGGGTGAGTAACCCAGAATAATCCAGTGAAGCTATGTCATCAAAATGAATTATTTCCATTGGGTTCTTTTATTTCTCTTACCAGGATGTGATCCACAACAGTCGGCTAACACCCAGGTACCTACTTAATGCTCGTGGGAACAGGGGAAACGGGTGTGAGGTGACTAACATCCAGATACCTACTTTCTGCTTAGTGAACAGGGACAACAGGAAACATACACAACGTTTTTACAGTCCCGTAGCTCGAATGGTAGCGCATTCAGCTCACACACTGAGGTCTGGGGGTCGATCCCGGTACGGCTGGAAACATTAGGACGTGTTTCCTTAAGACACCTGCTGTTTAGGCTCACCTAGCAGTAAAATAGGTAGCTGGGTTTTAGTCGGCTGGTGTGGGTCGCATCCTGGGACAAAATTATCCAAATTTGCCCGAGATGTTCTGCATAACAAGCGGCTTTCTATATAGTAGTATGTCACTGATGTCAGTTAGGACTGTATACCTTGTACATAAGTAAGTAAGTAAGTAAGTAAGTTTATTCAGGTATACACAAATACAGTTACATAGAATTATCATACATAGCAGCATATGTGTAGAGAACCTAGGATAACCCAAAAAAGTCAGACAGAGTGACTTACTTCCATTGGGGTCCTTTTACCTTATCTATTATAATATAAAGTTAAAATATTTTCTTATTATTCTTAATGAGTAACATTTTATTATCATACTAAAAAGACTATTACTACACAGAGGGTCATTAAACTATCTTACCAATACGGGGTCATTACTAGGACATAAGGTAAAATTTACACGTATGTTAGATAAAAAATGAAAATCATTCCCCTCCCTGTCTGTAGTACATTTCATCGAAACCTTTTGGCACTCTTTTGAACTGGTTCATGCTATGACTGGCTTTGACATGTGCGGGTAGTCTGTTCCATTCCTTTATTGCTGTACATAACAAGGTGTTTGAAGCTGGGCCAATGACTGTGGGTACTACAAGTTGTGCTATCTCCCCCTAGTACTATGACTCGCCTTTGGTTCCCAACCTTGACAAAATGACAGCAAGTATTCTGGACATGTTTGTGAGCATTTATAAACATGATTTAGCTTCAGTTGTTTTACTCGTCTTCACATTCAGCATATCCAAACTGCTGAATCATCCTGGCCTACATGTTTCTCTTGGTCCCAGCCCAGGATGAAAAAAAAAAAAAAAAAATAAAAAAAAAAAAACCCCCCCCCCCCCCCCCCCCCCCCCCCCCCAAAAAAAAATCTTACGATTTTGTTTCTGGGTGATTTGCAGTCCTATCTTTCAGTTTTTTTTTGTCCAAGGCAGGTACCAAAGAAGAGCAAGCGAATCCATATGGATTGTATAAGGGCTAGAACATAGGGGTCCTGCGAAGCCTCAGTAGGTAGACCACCTGTGCTTGTCTATACAGGAAAACTTCAGATCTGGCATTCGCATCTTTACTAACACTGTTCCCTATCAATTCTACTGACATGCATGGGTCAAAGGGGGCATTCCCCAAATATTTTACTGAGGGAACCAAAGTGATGGGCTTCCCGTTCCATTGGAACATTAAAGATTATTTATCCTTCTCAGTTTATGTTTTCGTTGCCCAATGAGAATGCT